ACCCTTAAGGTCCCTTCCAATAGGGACCAGGACCAGGATCGGGGCTGCCCAGCAGCTCCAGGCAGCTGCCTCCTGACATCTGCCTGCAGCCAAGACCAGAATCAGCCGAGAGGAAACCAGGGCTGCTCTTCACTGCACCCTGACTCTCCACTCACTGCCTGTGCCAGGTAGGGAAACTCTCCCCTGTTCTTCTTCCTTCTTTTATTGTTGTTTTCCTCACTGTGGAGTGCAGGTAGGGCTATCCCTGCTCCCAGTGGGAGCACCACACGGACCAGTCCCGAGGGATGCACTGGGAGGAGCCGAGGGGAGCTCCGGGGCCATCCTGACTCATCCCAGGAGGTGCCTTGGGGGCTGCGGGAGCCGGTGGGCACAGGGAGCTCTCTGCAGGGAAATCCCACTCCCCCAACTGGTTCTCCTTTCTTTTCTGCACTGGCATGTGAAAGCAAGGAGGAGAGCACCACCCTGTGCTGGCCTCCCATCATCTGCTGGGGGGAAAGCCTCCAACACCTCCAAAAACTCTCTGCAGTCTCCACATCCCCTTTTCCTGGCCAGGCGAGGAGAAATAAATATCCCTCCCCGTAGCGTAACGCTGTGCAGGGTGATTAAGAGGGAGTTATATCTTCGTCAGTGCAGAGAAAAGGAAAAAAAATTGATTTACAAGCAGTATTATGATAATCTCCTTCCTGCAGGAGGGAGGGTGGGCTCCCGATGCTCTACCAGAGCCATCAAGGAAAATTTAGAGGGAGAGAGAGGCAGTGCAATTAAGCGGCCTGAGCTCAGATGAATCAAGATGTGAGGAAGGGAAGAGAGGGAAGAGTCCTGCTCCCTGCATTCCTGCACCGGGGCTCCTCCGAGCCCGCTGCTACCCAGGGCTGCCACACTGATTGGATTTAGGAAACACAAACAAACCAAAGCAACCCAATAAGTGCGTGGCAGGCACGGGCAGTTTGGAGCAGGTAACGCAATAACTGCAGGCACAGCACTGCTGGGGCTGGGCAAACTCAACCCAGGGAAACCCCCAAGGCTCCCCCGAGCCCCCAGAGCCGGGGCCATCCCCAAGCACCAGGGAGGGCAAGGGGCTGCAACTCACACCAACCTGCCCCCAAACCTCCCGCAGCAGGGAGAGGTTTAAGATGTCTCATTTCCTTGCTGTTTCCTCGTTTATCCTGCCGTATGGCCAGGCTGGAGGAGAGGGGGACCTGTGCCACCCTCATCCTGTGCGATGCCAAGATGTTTTCCTGCTGCTGGGAAGATCTGCAGTCCTTGCTAATCATCATACACTAAATCATCTTTATTCCCCACTCGCTGCCCTGGTGCTTTTTTACATCCCTGCTCACTCCCCAGTCCCAGTGGTCAGGTGGACCTTTCAATTCCCCCTGTTACTTTTGAACCCAAAGCCTATTTTCCTGTGATTCTTCCCATTTCCCTTCCTGCTCCTCTCTCACTCCCACGCTGCCGTTTATTCTCTCCAGAGCACAACTGTCCCCCAGCCCCCGACGCTTTGATGAGCCCATTTGAAAGGAGAAGATGACGCTCCATGTGAAGGAAACGCTTTTCAAAGGCTGCCACAGAAATAGCTGATAGGCCTGACGTTTCCTACTTTCCTCTTGTTCCTTGTAAACAAGGAAAAGAGGCTGCTGCGTCCCAGTTTAACTGCCTGGGAGTTTCACTTCCCAGCTCCGAGGAGAACCGGGGAGAAAATGAACCTGGAAGGGATGTGGTCTCTCACACGTGGGGGTGTGTGGCCAACATCCACGTGGGATGAGCCTCCATCTCCTCCTGCACTTGGAAAATGTGTTTCCAGAGCTACTGTGCCCACTGGGTATCTCCTGGCTCCCACCTGCACCCCCAGCCAGGTGCCAGGCTGAGTGAGAAGCTGGCAGCCTCACTCATCTTTTCCAACCTCACAGCTTCCAAGGAAACGGGAAACTCCGGTGCTGCTGCTGCTGCTGGGAAGTCCCCTGCTAGTGGAGTGCCTGTTCTGCCTTCCCTTTCCAGCTGGGATTGGCTTCTACAGCCCTGCAGGACACTGAAGAGCACCTCATCCCTGTCCCAAGATCCACAGGGAAGGATGGCAGCTCAGCCTGCTCTGTCCCACCCAGGCTCCCTCCTTTTGTCCCTCCCGGAGCATTCCTTTTGCTGCTCCCTGCTCTCTGCAAGGGACACATCCTCCTCCCAACAAATCTCTAGAGCAAAACAGACCTATTCCAGGGAATCTGCAGTTCCAGAAGGGGAGAGATGAGGAAGGGAGTCACCAGGAGGTGACAGGGACCCCACAAGAATTGTGAAGTTCTCAAGGGACATGTTTCAGTGATCCCTAGCACGCTGCTTGCCTGGTGCACGTGGAAAATAGAGAAAGTGCCTGCCCCAGAGCCAGCCTCCCAAAATCCTTCCACCTGTCCAGATGATGAAGGAGCCTTGTGACATTTGGGGGTGGCACATCCTGTCTGCATAATGAGACAGGCAGCAGTGCCATCACCAGGCACCAGTGTCCTCACAAGGACAGAGCACAGCTTATCCCAAAGGTGGCAGGAGGGAAGGCAAGGTGGCAGAAGTCCCCTTGGCTCTGCCCCACTCACCCTTCTGTGCTTCCAGCTGGGAACTGTATACTGGCTAAATCCAAAGGGGACCTTAAAGCTCATCCAGTCCCACCTCAAGCCACAGTCAGGGGCACCTTCCACTGTCTCAGGCTGCTCCAAGCCCTGTCCAATCTAGCCTTGGACACATCCAGGGGTACCCACAGCTTCTCTGGGCTGTGCCAAGGCCTCACCACCCTCCCAAGGAGGAATTCCTTCCTAATATCCCATCTATCCCTGCCCTCTGGCAGTGGGAAGCCATTTCCTGTGTCCTGTCCCTCCATCCCTTGTCCCAAGTTCCTTTCCAGCTCTCCTTTAGGCCCTGGAAGGGGCTCTAAGGTCTCCCTGGAGCCTTCTCTTCTCCAGCCTGAACACCCGCAGCCCGGATCTCAAATCATCTCCACAAGGATCATTATCCAAACCAAGGGCAAAACTGCACCACGTGCAGGATCAGAGCCAGGAGAGGAGCCAGCAGGATCTGCAGGATGCCCACGGGCCCCAGAAGTGATCCCCTGGGATTGAGCTCCAGGCCTGGAGAAGCTGCTCTCAGCCACGTGAGAGCCTGGCAGGAGAGGCCAAGGCTGCCTGTGTAAGGACCAGAGGCTCTACGACAAAGCCGCTTGTCTGGGAACAGGCGTGGAGATTTGCTCCTTGCCTGGATACTTCAAAGGGCTTAAATCCCAGTAAATAAGCATGACTGTGCAAGAAGAAAGCAACTGGAATCAAAGACCTGATTGTGTTTTAGCAGCCTGTCCTGGGAGCTTTCCTGCAGCAGAAGAGATGAGGAAGAAGTGGGTTTTTCACTCTCTACCACAGCCTAAGTGACAAACCTTCCTGAATCGGAGCCAGCTGGAGCCACAGCACCAGCCCACGGCAGGCAGCTACAGAGAAGGGAGAGCAACTTCCAGATGAGGTGTCTGTGCTGTGCCCACAGAGCTCATAAAAAGGGATTAGCATGTTAACCACGTAATTAAACATGAAAAACTTAGCAGGCGCCTTCAAAGGCAGGCACCAAACCCCAGAGGTCACACTGCAGCACTCACTGTGCAGCTGCTTTAATTATGGGGCTCCTCCTGGGCACTGGAATGCTCCCAGCTGCTGGAAGAGCCTTCCCACAAACTGCCAGGGCTTCCCTTCACCTCCCTGTGCTGTGGCCATAAGTGGATTTCACCCCAAATTTACCTGTCATGGAGCTCTGCCAGGTGGGATGGGATAACGAGTTTCATCCACAGCCAGTCTGGAGATAACCAACACCTCCCCCAAGGTGGCCCAGACATTCAGGGTCATCCCTTTTAGCCTCTTCCCCATGGAAGTGCTTAACAATGAGAGCAGCCTGTTTTGGGGAACACCTGCAGCTCCCCAGAGCTGCCACAAACCCCAAACTCCAGGGATTTATAGCTCCTGGAATGGCTGGTGCAGTGAAGAACAGCACAGCCTTGTGCTGAGTTCTCCTGGGTAAAACAACCTCCTGTCCCTGCTCCTGAGCTCCAGAGGTGCTGGGGAATTGGTCTGTCTTTTCCAAAAGCAGTTCCCACCAGCTCTGCCACCTGTGAGTCTGGTATCCCAGTACTTCCCTGAGTGCCACCGACTCCAAGCTCCTGAAACCCTGTGGCTGTGCAAGAACCTCACCCCAGGGCAGAGCAGGTAAGCTTCCCCAAATCATCCTCCCAAAGGAGGGAGTGGATGCTCAGCACATACAGCCTGCAGATTGAGGGCAAATCCTTGGAGGAAAGCAGGCTCCAGGAATAAGAGATGTGGCATTAAAGGAGCAGGACCCCCAGATGGGGGGAGCTGAGGGACAGGCAGAGGCAGTGCACGGAGAAGGACAACTCCTGTCCCCAGGTGTGCTGTGACCTTCTCCTGGCACAAGAGCCACCTGCAGACACCAGTTGTCCTCAATCCTCTGCTTTACCTCCCTGGGATGCTTCTCAAACAGGCAGAGCATCCTTGTGCTGCTCCGCTCCAAGACAGAGATGTGCATTTTTAGCCTGTTTTGACAGTGTTGGCAGCAAGTTGATGGGGTTTGGCTGTTTGTTTGGGATATTTTTTTCTATATCCTGAATTTCTTTCTGCAACAAACAAGGGGGGAAGGTGCTGGTTTACTTCATTAAAGGAATCTTCAAAGGCTGCCCTGCACCTCCAATAGATTCCCCACCACAAGTGCAAAAACAGGCTGAATTATTTAAGTGCCTCTACCTGCACTCTCCCTCTGAGGTTGCCAACTCAACTTGTGCCAAGGAAGAAGCTTCCCAGCATGAAGGATCAGGTGTAGGAATAAATGCAGAGAGGCTGGGAGTGCTCCTGAGGGAGGGAGAGCCAGGCTGGATGGGTGACGGCGGGCACGGGTCCCGCTGGAGCGCAGGCAAGCTCATGCACGGGTTAGTGCCACAGCCAGATCCCAGCACCCCCACGCAGAGTACCTTGGAACAACCTACTTGGAATTCTCAAATGCAGATAGGTCTTCTGCCCTGGGCTTGAGGCTAAACCAGCAAAATAAAATGAACAACAAACAATAATAATAATCCCCGTGTGTGATACAAGGGCAGGTGATTTGTGGGATCTTAGGACTTGTCTGGAGCAATCAGCAGCTTCCAGGTGAGGCAGAGAGTTGGTGCCATTGAAGTATTGCTGGACTGATATCCCATTCCCAGTGCCCTGTGTTTCCTTGCCTTCACCACGGCAAAGACAAAAGCCCTGCTGACCTCCCTGAGCAGAGCAGGCTGTAATTTCCCTCTGATGTCTCCACTAATAGTCTATTATTTGGGAACCTTTGCTCCTTGCTGAGATGCAGCAGCCAGGCATTCCCCTCTCTCTCCAGAAGGGAGGGGACAGGACAAGACTCCATCTTCAAAGGGAGGCAAAGTGACGGCACCGTGACAAGCCCTGACAGACATGGAAATGATGGCCCAGCCACTCTCTTTAAGGGAGACAAATGGGACCATCAGCTCTCTATGAACTCCTCTCTGTCAGAAGTGAAAATTTAGCAGTTTCTGTTTAAACCAAGGACTTGGAACACAGAGACAAATCCTACCAAAACCTACTGGGAGCAGAAACGCCTCCAGATTCTACAATGACAAAAGGAGTTGTGAAGATTTTTATTTTCTCTGCTCTGGTGTGACAGGAAGCTGAATAGCTCCAGGCCAGCACGGGGAAACTGGAGAGTGAGCCCCGCTAGATTCATTGTCCTGCCCCAATTCAGTGATCACAAACTCCCAGCCATGAAAGTCGGCAAGAACTGATATTTCCAAATCCTTTCAGACATTACTCTTGACTGGGAGTAGTAAAGAGAGCAGGATTTGTTTTTCAAGCCTGATGTTGTTACCACAGCCTGCATCCCGTGCCGTACGGATTTCCAAATCCTTCCCGAGCACAGCTGCTAGCAGAAAGCCAGCCAGGAAAAAGCCTTTGCAGGGAAAAAAGCCTTTGCAGGTGAGTGGGGCTGACCACCACCATCCAAATCCATTGTGGATGTGCCCCCAGCCCCTCCTTACAGAGCCCAGCACCGAGGCAAAGGAAAAAGATGAGATGTAGAAATAAAGAAGGGGTTTTGTTGTGAGCTTGCAGGTGACCCCGGGGCAGCAGACCCAGGCAGCCTCAATTTTTTGGCTGAAGTTCCTCATGTCAGCCCCACTTTGGGAGGCAAGTGGCTCCAGGGAGCAGAGGTCTCACACCCTCTGCCAGCAAAGGCTTTGCTGTTAGTGACTGAAGCTGCACTACAGGCTTCTCTAGAGAGATTAAAAGAGAGGAAGAGCCTTTGGCTTTTTCCACGGAGAGCTCCTAAGCCAGGAGTATTTCTGCCCTCATTATTCACCAGACAAGCTCAGTGCTCGTAGGGAACAGCTGCAATAGGCAGGGAGGGCTTTTCCTGTTCACTAGGGATGGAGAGCTCTCTCAACAACATCCTTGTACAGCTTGTAAGGTACAGCAAGACCTTCAGCCCTGGACACCTTCACATCCCTTCCCACAGCACTGGAGAGACCAGGCTGGGTCAGGACACCAGGACCACCAGAAGCTGGAATTCTCTAATCAAAGCTAAGCAGCTGGGGAAGAAAGCCCAGATCCAACAATTTTATTACCAAAAGCAGGGTGATTCTAGGGTTCTTTTTAAAGGGTTTCATCAGGGGAGATACAAGCTGGGGCCCTCTGATACCTTTTTAATAGTGTTGTGCTTGCTGTTGCCCCGGCTGGAGTTCTCGTTGTGCAAAATATCCAGAGCTGTCTCTCTCTCCTTGAGCTTCAGTGCCTCAATTTCTGTCTTCAGCTCGTTGAGCTGCTCCTGCAGGTGCTTGCTCTTCTCCATGTACTCCACCCTAACACACACACAAAACAGCCCTGGGTTAGCACTGACCAGCTGCACGTGCTGATGTGACACCTGGTAACAGAATTATAACAGAAACAACTTTTCTTCATTATTTTTAGTGTGTGGAACTGATACTATCAGTTTATAGCACACAGTGAGCTACACAGAGCAATTATTTGTTCCTTATTAAAGGGGACCCAGACAGCCAAGCCAGCAATAAAAGTGTAACTTACATTATTATACACAATTAAACCCAAGCTGGGTGGTATTTTAAGTCTCCCAATTTGCAAGTGAAGCTGACAGAGGTTTACACCATTTTTAAGCAGCTATTCAGGAGAACTCTACACCCCTGCACTCGTTCCCAAACTTGCTCAACAACCCAAATCCACAAATCTTTCCATGAGGAAGGATCCTGATGTACTGACTTGCCGTGTTTTAGAGGTTTATAGCTTGTAAACTGTGTGGGAGCAAGTGCTGTCCCCAAAATATCAGGTATCCTGTAGACACAGAGCATCTCTGGCAGAGAGAAAGTCTCCCAAAAAAAAAAAAAAAAAAGAAAGAAAGGGAAATAACCAACCCCCAAAGCCAGCCATTCCCAGGACTTGTCCTGAACTGCCTTCTACAATGAAAAATCAACTGGAAAAATCACCCCCATGAGTTTTGTACCTGTGATTAACCCCCTGAGCCAGCTCAGAGGGCCAGCAGGGTAATAGGAACCCTTTTCAGTGCCAAAATTAGTAGAGAAGTTTATTCCAGCACCCGAGGAAAGAGAACAGCCCCAGAGAAGACAGGAAAAGCATCCTATTGCTTTCAGCATTTGGCAGAGGCAGCTCCCCCTGCTCAGGAGAGCAGCATGACCTAGATAGCAACCTGGGTACAGAACCAGGAATTATCCTGTTATTTTCAGCTTCTATCTTTCTCCTTCTGGCTTTGGGAAAAGTTTTTTAAAAGTTCTTAATCTCCTGTCTCTAGGACGGTGATTTCATACATAGGAGAGGGCAGTGAGCAGAGGCAAACCAAAGCAGCCTGTGGGATCCAGGGTGTGCCATTCCAGCCTCGGGAAGTTTTGGCCAGAGAAGGATGACAGAGCCATTGTGGCTTTGATCTTTGACCGAATTGATGAACAAAGCACATCATTACTACAGAGATTAAAATCTGATCTGCTTTGATTTCTGCTCAATTGGTAATTTCGAAGGCTACACTTACACCCTGAGGAAAACACAAGATCAAAGCTCATAATCACATCCAAACTTGCTGGCGAACACTTTTTTATCCAGGAACGTGACACAAATTCCAAGGAAAAGGGGTTAAAGCCCTAGAGCAGGACCTTAACACACCCCAGCTATCACATCCCCTGAGCACCTGCAAAGCCTCAAGCTCAGGCCTCCAGCACTCAGCCTGCTGTTAACTCTTTCCACCACCGTGGGCTCCAGCCTGAGCAGGAGCCAGGATTCCTACACAGAGAGGAAGTGCCTAGAGCAGGGCCCTGAGCTCACCCCAGGGCAGGGACAGGTCTGTGACACCAGGTCCCCTCCAGGGAAAGGCTCAGCCAGGACAAGCACAGAAATGTTCAGGTTGGAAAAGCCCTCTGAGGTTACCAAGTCCAACCATTCCCCAGCACTGCCAAGGCCACCACTGCCCCATGTCCCCCAGTGCCACATCCACATGGCTTTTACATCCCTTCAAGGATGGGGACTCCAGCACTGCCCTGGGCAGCTGTGACAGGGCTGGACAGCTCTTTCCATGAAGGAATGTTCCCTGATATCCACCCTGAGCCTGCCCTGGCCCAGCCTGAGGCCGTTCCCTCTCCTCCTGTCCCTGTTCCCTGGGAGCAGAGCCCGACCCCCCCGGCTGTCCCCTCCTGTCAGGGAGTTGTGCAGAGCCACAAGGTCCCCCCTGAGCCTCCTTTTCTCCAGGCTGAGCCCCTTTCCCAGCTCCCTCAGCCTCTCCTGGGGCTCCAGCCCCTTCCCCAGCTCCCTTCCCTTCCCTGGACACGCTCCAGCCCCTCCAGGGCTCTCTTGTCAGGAGGGGCCCAGAGCTGTCCCAGCACTGGAGGTGTCCCAGCAGTGCCAGCACAGGGGACGGGCACTGCCCTGCTCCTGCTGCCACCCCAGGGCTGGCACAGCCCAGGTGCCTTTGGCCACGTGGGCACACCTGGCTCTTGTCCAGCACAAACCCCAGCCCAGACTGGATGTGTGCCACGTACTTCTCCTTCTCGATCTCCATGGACAGCCTCTTCATGTCCGTATCCTTGAAGTCGAAAGAGAGGCTCTCGTTGATGAGGTTGAAGCTTGGCAGGTCAGTGGGCAGTGCTGTGGTACTTGAGTTCATGGACTGCTGAGGAGAGAGCACAAGTTAATCACTCTGGGCCACACAAGTGTCACTACAGAGAATGTTCTGCAACGCTGACATAAAACCAGAGCAACACTTGAGCCCAGAGTCCTGAGCACAAGATCAGCCTGGAAATCTCCTTGCTCCATTCCCAATTTGCTCTTCAGTTCAAAGCCATTGCTCCCCCAGGACTCTTTGGAGCCCTAAAGAGGAGACAAAATACCACCTGCATTCAAAATCTATTGAGAAAACTGGGTAAAATCAAGGCTTTATCACTGCTGTGTCACTCTAAGTTGGACAGAAGCTGCCTCTTGGGAGTCATCTGTCTGCTATTTAACATTCAATCAGGTTTATAAAGTTCAAGCTGTGAGCAGGGACAATGTAAGACCTTGTGTGACAGCAGAGTCTTGCACTCCACAGCTCCCCAAAGCCTGAGATATTACCCCAAGGATGCCATTCCAGCAAGGTCCATGGAGATGCACAAACCCATTTTTATCTCCTCAGTAATTTACAGCTCCAAAGGTTTAGAAGCCACTTCTAGATTCAGCTGGAAATAGAGATAACAGCAAATTACTCCTGGAACACCTGAGCAAGGATTTGGGACTTTCTTCCTCCTGCAAAAAGCTTTGCTATCCCCCAGTGACACACACTGCCAGGCCCTCAGATTTTATCTTCTCCTAAAAAATGACCCTTCTTCCTCTCAGTCAAAAATTCTGTCACACCTCTAACAAATGGGCTCATTAGGAGGAGAGGAAAAGCCTGCTGGAGTCATGGCTCTGCTCCTGCAGCACGCTGGATGAGGTGGCAAACAGGGCACACGTCAAGGGTGGCACAGCAGCATCAGATGGGGCTGAGTCACAACTGCTGCCAGCCTATTCAGCCCTGCTCTGGGATTTGAGAAATCCAGCCCAGCATCTCAAAGATCCCCCACCTCCCTCCTGGATGCTCCTTCCTGCTTTAAGGGATTCCTATAAGGAAAACAATGTGCCCAAACCTGAATGGCACTGCTGGATACCTGCTCTAACAAACGAGAGTTTGAACTTCCACTGGCTCTTTCTTTCCCTCATTTCTCTTATTTGGGATACTCCAGGCACTGTTTTCAGTTAGCTCCTCTTCAGCAAGACCTGCAAGCACTGGGGTGACAGATTTACTCTGCACAATAACCTGCCTCTTTCCTCACCACCAGCCTGGAATGCACAAACAGCCAGGGCTCGTTCCCAGCCCGGACAAATCTGAGAGGGACAACATTTCATCGAGCAGCGAAGCTGGAACACAAACACCTCGTACAAGCATAAACAAGGGGGTGCCTCAAACTGCACTTGGCCTGGCTGGAGCCTTCCAGGTGAGTTAAGACCCACATGACAAGGAAACCCAACTCCTTCCTCCCCCTTTGCAGGCAGCACGGAACAAAGCCACATTAATTCTGGAGCAGGTGCTGGAAGGGACAGCTCAGTACCTAAATTCCAGTCTCGAAGGAAAGGGGACAGGTCTGCCAAAGCACTTAACTGATTTAAATACTTGCATCCCATTGACATTCAAGTCCCTTCCCTGTAAGGAACACAGGCGTTCCCAAAGCCCTTCCCACGTGAGGTTCTCCCGTCCCTGCAGCACAGGGGAGTCAGGAGCATCTGAGCCAGCCTGCTGGCCTTCAAACAACCTTTAGCTTGGTTTTTTTTTCAGTACAAGCTTTGTTGGGTTTTGTTTTTAAAAACTCCCAACAGCAGCAGTAACAGTTGAGCAGGAATTTCAGTAGCTGCAGCCATTAAGGCCCGAGCCAATTTATCAGGGTTGCTACAGCCACTACTTCCTTCTCTTCCCTTGGCACTGCTCTGCCATGGAGCAAGGAAAAAACTGGTGGAGAAATCAAAGAGCAGCAGGAGTGAGGAAGAGTATGGAAAAAGCAAAGAGTGAGCAGGTTCAGGGCTCCCAAAGGCATGGGGTTGATATCTGGAGCAAAGCACTTAATAGAATCATGGAATTGTTCGGGTGTGAAGAGACCTTAAAGCTCATCCAGTTCCACCCCTGCCATGGCCAGGGACACCTTTCACTATCCCAGGCTGCTCCAAGCCCCATCCAGCCTGGCCTTGGACACTTCCAGGGATCCAGGGGCAGCCACAGCTGCTCTGGGCACCCTGTGCCAGGGCCTGCCCACCCTGCCAGGGAACAATTCCTTCCCAATATCCCATCCAGCCCTGCCCTCTGGCAGTGGGAGCCATTCTCTGTGTCCTGTCCCTCCGTCCCTTGTCCCCAGTCCCTCCCCAGCTCTCCTGGAGCCCCTTTAGGCCCTGGAAGGGGCTCTGAGCTCTCCCTGGATCCTTCTCTTCTCCAGGTGAGCACCCCCAGCTCTCCCAGCCTGGCTCCAGCCCTTGGAGCATCTCTGTGGCCTCCTCTGGACTCTCTCCAGCAGCTCCAGGTCCTTCCTGTGCTGGAACCCCAGACCTGGAGGCAGCTCTGCAGGTGGGGTCTCACCTCAGTGGGGCAGAGGGGCAGAATTCCTGTTGCAGATTCCTTGCCATTTGCAACAGTCCTGCACAGCTCTTGCAGCAGGTGCTGTTATTTCTAATCTGGGGCCACGGAGTGATAAAAGGGACAGGGAACTTTTTCCATATGTATTTCCTCACCTGGAACAAACTGCACAGCCCTGTTCCTGCATTACAGCAATTTCCTGCCGTTAGCAGAGCAAGCACCACGCTGGCTGCAGTCATGCCTTGGATCCCTCTGGAATACAGAGCGAGGAGGAGGATCCAGAGGGAGCACACAGCAGGTCAGGAGGTTTCCCCTGCGGGGAAAACTCCTCCTGGTGCTGCTACTGCCTTTATTTTGGTGCTCAGGAATTTGGGCAAGCCCAAACCAGCCACTTACAGCTCCCACAGGATCAGAGAGAAGGTGATTGCCTTTATCTGGCACCTGAAGGGCACTGAGGGAGGCAAAGAGCTGCAGCCAAGTCTGTAAGGAATGAGCTGTTCTCCAAGCCCTGACGGCCTGAGACTCAGATGCACATCTCACTTCTCATGCATCACCTACCAGTGACATTATAAAAGCAGCCTGGGCTTCAAGGACTGAAAAGACATTGAAAAAAGCTTTAAAGAACCAGGATTGGAGACTAGAAAGTTGAAAAATATATATATTTAACTGTTTCTTTTGCCTTTACTGCAGCACAGAGTTAGGTCAGGGAGTGGACTCGATCTCTTAAGGTTCTTTTCCAACCTAAATGATTCTACATCTGTCCACTCCCTCCTTCCTCTCTTGCTGTTGTGAAGTCCTGCTGAGCTCCCAGTGTCAGGGGACGACACAGCACAAGTCTGGGACCATGGAAAAGAACAAGCTCAATGTTATACCCTCGTTCAGGAAGAGAAAATTTGGAATCCTGCACCATCAGCTCATCAGAGCTGAGGAACTCAAGTCTCCCAAAAACAGCTTTCAAAACAGAGTCCCTCCATGTGCTGGCAATCCAGGGAAGTGTAACAGAGGATGGAAGAGCCCAGCAAGGTGTTTTCACCTGGATATGCACATGCTGGTCACACCAGCCTCCTCCTGACCTTGGAAAACAACAGCCCTGGAGTCCGTGCAGCACAGCCCTCATCCCAGGGCAGGGAGAGGGGCAGAGGGAGCAGCTGCTGCATGAGGGGACCCAGCCACCGAAATGGGGAGGAAAAAAAAGCTTTTCCCTTCCCACCAGGCACTGGCAGCCGTGTCTGGAAAGCCAGGGCTCTTTAGGGAAGGCAGAGGACACAGCCCCATGTGTCTGGAAGTGGCAGCTCTGCCTCCAGGCAGATGCAGCTGGAGGGGTGGAGCTGAGCTCCAGGCAATCCCACAACATTCCCCTAATGAGGCTCTAATTCCACGGGAACAGAGAGCACAGCCACCCAGCTGCTCCCCAGCACCGGGATTTTGGCACAAGGGCTTTGAGCTGGGGCTCTGCTGGTTTCACTAAGGATGGACATGGCAACATGAGGGAACATGGATGTGGAAGAGCTGCCCAAATTTCACACTGGCTGGTGTAGCCACACAACACAGTTCCAATGAGGACAAGTGTCTCCCTGTGCACAAGATAAGTCAGAATTAAGGAGCTGATGCATCCCAGAATTCTAGTGACTTGTAAAAGGAGGAGCACTCCAAAGCTGGGCTTTATCCAGCACTCACTTGACTGAGTGTCCCAGAGCTGAGAGCACCTGATTATTTTCCAGCACTGTTATTTTTAACACCTTCCAAATATGAACTCCAGGGAATCAGGATGAAAAGTTGCTTCATCTCAACCCCTCTCCAATCTGCTCCTATGAAGTTTCCAGTGAAAGTGGGAAGGAGCCTGCAGGTACAAATTCAAACCTCGGTGCTGGTGTGTCCATAACTCCCGTGTCAAACCTATTCCTGATGCTCTTCCCCTTCCCCCAGGCCAGGAAGGAACAGGTGTGAGCTGCAGGGATGGGGGCACCTGATGGGGTTTGCAGGCACAATTAGGGAAGCAGAGGAGAACTGCCAGACAAGTCAGAGCAATGGTCATCTAGTCTGGCTTTTCAGTGCCCGGCAGGAACCAGGACCAGATGCTTCAGAGGAAGGTGTGAAATCCTCTTAATGGACAATTATGGAATAATCTCCCTTCAAGTAAGTTTTTTTCCAGCATATAAAGGTCCAGTTTATGCCCAAAGAATGAATGTACAGGTTCTGAGCAGTGTTTATCCCACCTAACAAGAAAAAGAACATATTTAACCCTATTTTAAAGGTTATTGCTAAGCCAGTGCACTCACACGTGCTGGCAAAGTGGCTCTGACACAGCTGCTAAATTGGTTTAAAATTTGCTGCTTTAATTTCACCAGCAGCTCCTTTGCTCTCATAGCAAGAGGTGGGTGGAAAAAAAAAAAGAGCATAGTAAAGTTCTGCTGGATGAGATGCAGGGATGAAAAGGGCAAGTACTGCTCAGGATTTCTGAGCAGCAATGAGACAGCTCGGCCCCCTCCATGGCTGGGATGGAGGAGGCTCCTCCAGGCTACACAGGAGAGCAGAGAACTGGGAATTACAACACAAATCTCTCTTACTGTGTAGGAAGACTTGCTGGTGATCTCCAAGAGCTTCTGCTTCGCTCTGCGCTCCGACTCGCGAGCCTCCTGCAGGTCCTGCTTGAGCTGATCAGCCTCCTTTGCCCTGCAAAGACCAACAGCAAACAGCACATAGCAGACTGCAGCCAGGAGGAACGAGAGGATGGAGAAGCAGGATCACAGTGTGGAATAGGCAAGAAGAGATGGAGAAGGGCTGAGTTCATCCAAGCAGAAGGGCTGACACCCAGCAGGCTCTCACACAGAGAGGAGTAATCAGCTGGAAGGAAACAAGGCTGATCTTTTACTTGCTCACTGCTACATTCACCGTGGGACCTGGGCTCGGCTATCAGGAGGGTGGAAACACCAGTTTCAACAAGGAGTAAAGTCTCTGTTCAAGGCTACCTGGAACAGAACTTATGGCTGGAAAGGAGAACTAAACAACTGAGAGCTAGATGAGTAAGGAGAATAGAGAATATAGATCTACCATCCAGACGAAGAACAACCTCCAAGTGTTATTGCTAATATTGTTAAATACTTTGTGGAATGCAGGGGAGGGTTGCAGAAAGCACCCAAAAGCAGAGCTGGCTTTTGGAGAGGGAAACCAGCTGGGCCAAAGGGCCATTTGCTATTGGACACGTGGGAAGCTGAGGGAGGACAACTCAGAGAGGTAACTTGAAGGGGGTGTGAAGCAAAGCACAAGCAGCTGCAAGGTTGTACCCTCTGACCTCCTCTCTGACTCCTCGGCCATTTTCAGTGCCAACATCTCTGCCTCCAGCACCTTCTGCTCCATCAGCCTCTTCTCCTCCTCGGTGCGGATGGCCGTGGCCTTGATGCGCTGCATCTCCTGCTCGGCCTCGGCCGCCTTCTGAGCCAGCAGCTTGGCCTCCTCCTCCGTGATCTGCGCCTTCTCTGCCAGCAGATCCGCCGTCTCCTCCGACCTCATCTGACAATCCCGGCACATGAAGCCATTAAGCACAGCCAATGTCTCCCCAAATGTGCCCACAGCCCCCGGAGCAGGGCCCCGAGCTGCTCGCTCCGACACGCTCCATAGAATCCCTCCCTTCTGTGAAAACCCGAAGCCGCCAAGGCTGGGATGTGCCCAGGCTCTGTCCCAAATCATCCTCTCTGTGCTCCAGCCCAGCAGGATGAAATAGCTCCATCCAGCCACTGGCAGCACTTTGGGAGCAGTCTTAGGGCAGTCATAGAGCGCTTCCAAAAACGCTTCTGCGGTGGAAAGAGTGAGGAGCAGCTGCAGTGCTCGGGAAATGGCCTCCCAGGGACCTACCAGAGCCTCGTTGGCCATCGTTGCCTCCTCCTTCAGCTGCATCAGCCTCCTCTCCAGCTCATCCCTGGTCCTCTCAGCCTCTTCTCTCATTTGCTTCTCTCGTGCCAGGCACTGTCGTTCCATCTGGGAAAAAGGGATTGGGAAAAGTGAGGAGAAAAACACACATGAGAAGGTTTTCCATGGATAAGAGAGTCACAGGTGAGGTCAGAGCACTGCTGCCTCCTCTCTGCTTAGTGACAAGGGGAACATCCCTGGACTGGGGTGACCTGAGAAAGAACAGAATCATGGGATCACTTAGGTTGGAAAAGAGCTCCAAGATCATCAAGTCCAACTGTTCCCCCAGCACAGCCAAGGCCATCCCTAACCCACGTCCCCAGCTGCCACATCCACACGTTTTTTTACCCCTTCCAGGGATGGTGATTCCACTACTGCCCTGGGTAGCCCGTTTGATGCTCCCTTGAAAAGTGCCAGTCCTGAGACAATTCCCATCCTCTGCTCAGGCTGTCACTCACAGCATGGCCACAGGAGCTGCCTGCAGGTGACAATGTCCCCAGACAGTGCCCTCCTAGGCTGGGTCACAGGGCAAACCAGGACAAGTGGGTCTCAAGATCTCCAGTTTAACTCTCTGGAGTTTCTTACAGCTGGATTGGGCTTAAGGACAGTCTGAGGGCATCTCCCAAACCACAGCACATGACAGGAGGCTGAAGGACAAGTTTAGCTGCTCCTTTTGATCAGATATCCAATCCAGCATCCTGGAACTTCCACTTCCATTCGTTCAGAGAGAGGTCACACAGAGTGCAACCACCTGTGGCAATTCCTGGATACAACAAACACTCTGTTTGCAGGGAACAGCAATGCTTCTCCAGAAGGGGAAGATCCAAGCCACCAGGATCTGCCAGCTCTTCCCAGAAGATGCTGGGAGGGTTGTTGTGCCCAGGGACTGCCTCTTCACTAGCCAAGAGCCCAAGGGAGCCATTGGGCTAATTAACACACTGAGTTTAATCCCTCCAGCCCCACAGGGATGGGGCATTATAAATATCCATGCTGCAGCCAGGACAGGAGACCTGCTGGGTTTAATAAGAGAAGGAAGTGAGACAAGGCACATTTCTCTGCTCCTTGGACACCAGCTGTGCTCTGAAAGCGGGACGCCCACTGTTCCAACCGTTCTGCTTCCTTCTATTAAAGGTTCCCCTCATTAATTATCATTATGATCTGCATCCCTCTCAGGACTTCCATTAACAAGAATTCCTCATCTAATAGGACTATCTGAAACCAGTTAACAACTGTGGATGCTGGGGAGGGAGCAGGGAGCAGGGCAGGCAGCACAGTGGCTCGCTCAGGACAGGGCAGCGAGCCCACACAGGAGCCTGACCTTTCCCATGGAGCCCAAGTACTCTGGATTTGGGAGCTTAGGTGAAGCCATAATCAGCTGCTCCCTCCCAGAGCCCTCACCTCTTCCAGCAGCCCAAATAAGCACAGGATCTTGGGTGTGGTGTTATGCAAACACATCAAAAACTCACAGATTGTAAAACTTCAAGATTCTTGCACTCGTTCAAGTTGGAAAAGTCCTCTAAGCCCAAGCCCAACCGTTAACCCAGCACCACTGTGTACACCACAAAACCATATCCTTAAGTGCCACATCCACTTCTGAACCCCTCCAGGGATAGTGACTTCATCATTTCCCTGGGCAGCCCATTCCAGTGCCTGACCACCCATCCCTGAGGCTGTCAGGACACCGTGCTGCTCCTTCCAAGGACCTTCTGCTCCACTAAGGACATGGCTTAGTGAACACAGGGGTAGAGGGCTGAAGGTTGGAGGCCTCAGAGCGCTTTTCCAACCTCATTGGCTCTATAGTGCCAAATCCTTATTGACCAGAGGAATCCCTGTGGGAAGCATGAAGTCCCTCTTCCCCAGTGGAGCTTGCAGTGACTCAAGTCCAGACCTCTCCTGCCACTCCATGAGCTACATGAGGGAACACTGCCTCAGGAGCTGCCTGAAGGACAAGACACATCCCACCTCCAGCCCACCTGAGCACTCAGCACCACACAAGGACCTTGGGAGGTGCATGAAGAACAAGCCTTGTCCCATTTCCAGGCAAACTCAGCACCTCAGCACCACCCAAGAATTGAGAGAGGTCCCTGAAGTTCAAGCCATGCCCCATTTCCAAGCCAGGTGAGCATCTCCACCCCACACAAGCACCTCTGTGTCCACGCTCAAACCCAGTAACACCCAGACCCATAAGCACAAGCCCCTGCTGGGTGCAGCAACTGCTTTAGCTTCTCCTGCTCCTCTCTAGTGGCTTCCCTGCTAAAGGGCCATTTATATTCCAAGCACCAGTGCTCAGATTAGCTGTGTGGGTTTCAGTGAGTAGAAAAGGTCTACGAGCAGAAAACAATGATTCATACAATTCAATTTGCTGATGTGTGCTCGTGGGCTCCACGCCGCTGCCTCCGCCGCGCCGTGCCGGCCGCCCGGGCTGACCCGTGGCACACAGAGAGGCCAGCATGGAATCAGCTGGAATTAGCATTCCAGGCTGCACAGCCCAGAATGTTGGTGTGCATTCCATCACCCTGCAATTAGAAATGAGGCAAAGAGCTATGGCAGAGCACAGCTCCCCCTCACAGCCCCTGATTTATCAACTGTCCCAACGCACGTTTTGCCACGCACACCCAGGGCAGCTCTTCTCTCCTGTCCTCTCAGTTTTATTCCCAAATTGGGAGATGGATTCGGGCTGCCATCAACCTGCAGGGCCAAGCCGAGATGACTAGAGAGCTGGGAGGAGGCTACTAAAAAATGTTCAGCTGGACCTTCCCTCAAAGCTGCTTTGATGTCATTCCCCCTCCCAAGTCCATCTGCATTTCTGATTTTGGCTCACTGGTTATGGGACACGTGGCTCACCTGCTTCCTGGCCTTCTCCTCCCTGGCCTGTGCTTTCATCTGCTGCACCTCCAACGAGTCTGCCTTCCTCCTCCTCATGAAGAGGTCGTGGTTCCCAATGCACAGCTGAAGAATCTGTTGCAGTCAGGGGTGAAGAGCAGAGAGAAACAGCTGTACACATGATGGCAATGAGGTGGTTTGTATTCTTGACACACAAAACCACTAGAATTGCTTTGATTTGGTGCTTGTTAGTGCTTCCACCCACTGAGCTCCAACCCTGCAAGCTCTCACAGCTGTAGGAGGGGCAGGGAGCCCGGTCCCACACCAAACACCAGCTCCTGGGTATAGCAGCTCTTCGCAGAGACCAATTTGCTGTGCCTCCAGCACACCACGGGTGTTGTATTACACCCACTCTAAAAAGGCAAGAGGCCAAATAATGAAATAAAAATTTCTACAGCTCTGCCCAGTTCCCTGGTTCTCACTGCCCCCTTTCTTTAGGCTCAAGATGAATTTGCACCTTCTCCACAGTGTATATTTAAGGCACTGAGATTAAAAATTAAATTAAAAGAAAGAAAACAAAAAAAGAAAGGAAAACCACTTTCCACTTGGGCAAACAGACGGGTTATCAAAAACTTGCATCTCCATCTTGCATCTCCAGATACCTTTGCCGAAGGGATTTGAGCCCCAGTGTGGTTCTCTCTCTGGTGAGGACCAGGGAGGTGGCAGTGCTAGAGGAGGGTTAGCACAAGGTGGGCACACAGAGGAGTGAAAAAATTTTTTTGGCAATAAAAGCAGGATTCTAAATTTGGATTCTTTTCTAAAGGACTGATTTGCATGCTCTTCTTCCATTTCATAAAATCACAGAATCATGGAATGGTTTGGGTTTGAAGACACCTGAAAGATGATCCAGTGCCACCCACTGCCATGGGCAGGGACACCTTCCACTATCCCAGGTTGCTCCAAGCCCTGTCCAGCCTGGTCTGGGACACTTCCAGGGACAGGGCAGCCACAACCCAGGTCACAAATGTCTTCTCTGAAGATTTCAGCACTATGAACCTCTTGATGCAGGGAATGAGGAAGCCCCATTTCCTATGGAACATGAAGCACAGCCAACAACCAGGACAGCAAAGGTGCCTGTGAGACCTAATAAAGGATCCAAATCCAGAACATCAGCTAAAGCTGGTCTCCAACATGGACAGCTCAGTGCAGGCCATCCTTGTCCAAGGAGAGTGTCCTCAGAGGGGGAAAAGCTAGGACTCAGGTAAAGGTGCCTCCCAAAGCAGGGAAAGCTACAACACAGGGCAGAACGGGAGAGATCCACATGGGAAAAACGACGAACTGAGCAAAGCTGGGAGTTGTATTTACTTCCACTATTTAGGTCAGCTGAAAGCCAAGAGCTCTAAAAAGGAGCACAAAAACAGGGGAGGAGGAGAGGTTCTGTGGAGCAGCTTGTCTTGAGTCTCCTGCTTCCCCCTTCAGCGAGCAGTAACTGCTACACCCCATCACAAGCACACAGCAGCAGCTCCCTCTCAAAGGAAAAGCCCCAAAAGCTCGTTGTCTCAGACTCTCTGCAGAGCCCACTGCTGCAGGCAGTAAAAAGACTGTCTGTGCACTTACCAGCTTATTCACACGCAGCTTTGATGAATTGAATTTAAAAACATCAATCTTTTTGTCCAATGGCTTAATCGTAAACTGAAAAGGAAAAAATAAAGAGGGGGAGAGTTATCAGAGAGTGGTGCATTTAATAAAAACGCAGCTATAAAATTCTTCCTGAAAGCTCTGGCTCAGAGCAGGTCAGCAGGGTCAGACACACGGCTCAGAGCTGTCCCCATGGCTCTGAGCCAAGCAAGAGGACTCGCATCAAAAGCAGCCAAGGAGACAACTGCTCCTCCAGTCAGGAAAACATGGGGGCCACAGGAGCTGGTGTCCTCTGCAGAGAACCCTGCAGAGCTGGGGGGTGAGCTCAGCACCTCCCCAGGCAAGGTGCTGCTCTCCTGGGAGCTGCAGGGAACACAGAAACCACAGCAGGATGCTTCCAAAGGGAGGAAGAACCAGCTCAGCTGCCTGATGGAACCACAGAATCATTAAGGTCGGAAAAGCCCTCCAAGACCATAAAATTCAAACATCAACCCAACCACGCTCACCCTCAAACCATGTCCCCAGGTGCCACATCCACAAGTGTTTTGAACACTTTCCTTGGAAGTCCAGGCCAGGGTTTGACAGCCCTTTAATGCAGAAATTTTCCCTAATATCCAACTCAAACCTTCCATGGCACAACTTGAGGCTGCTTCATCTCATCCTGTCACTTGTTAACCTGGGAGAAGAGCCCGACTCCCACCTGGCTGCACTTTCCTGTCAGGGAGTTAAAAGGGCAGGAGAGCTACATCAGGAACACAGCAAGGAGCTGCTGCCCTTCCCACTGACACCTCCACTCACAAAAGCTCTCCAGAAGAATTTTTCATGTATTTTCTTCTCCAGGATTCAGCCTTGTCCTAAGACTTGCCCTAAGACAATTCAAACAGTTATTACCTGGCTCTAACTTGCACTCTATGTGCCAACCAACCAGCTCTATTCATGGCCTGGCTTCATCCTCTCCAAAGCTCTCCCACAGTGGCTCTCCTGACAGGCCAATGGTGGCACAAATCCCTCAAGGGCTTTGGTAATGCAGCCCTTGGATGGAGAGAAGCCTGTGCACTATCATAAAGGGTACTTGAAGAGATGGAGTGCTCTGCAAGATGGCATTTTTTAGGAGACATGTACATATTCCATCACTCCCCCACACGCTACAGAAATAACGGGCTGAGGAGCTGGAGCAGACAGAGTGTGTCCATTAGAGTGGGAGATCTGTCAATACATGGCCCTGCCTGAAAAGGGCCCTGCCCTGGCACTGCCTCGCTCTGGCAGTTTAAGAGCCAATCTTTTAAGGCTTTCACAGAAGCAGACGTGCATGAATGTCCCTGGATTCAGGCTCCAGCAGAGCCCCCAGCAGTCTCTGAGAGCAGTAGCAGGAATGTGCTGGGAGAGGAGTTTCAGCTCCCTGTGAACAGTCAATCTTTGTTAGGAGGGATAACCCCCAGCGTGGTGTCAGCAGAGCTGCTGCTCCCAGCTGACGGCCCTGTTTGCATCAGGTCAGGCCTGCTCGTGAGCACCTGATTACACAGATGACTGAGCTGGTGGAAGGGATCCATCCTTCCCCTGGAGAGAGCTCTGCTACAGTCCTGTGGCAAGGCCTGCTTATGGAGGGGTCAGTCCCTGTCACAGTGTGACAAGTCCCTGGATTCTGGGAGCTCCCACTGCACTGTCACAGGCAGGGAAGCTTTGGAAGTGTTGGGCTTTTTTGCAATCGTGAAGCTCTTTAAGGAGTAAAGCAAGTGGAGACAATTCCAGCACAGATTTACTGCTTGTAAAACTTCACAAGACATGCAATAAATGCAGCTGATGAGAAACCTTTAGCTGCTCCCCTGATCAATATCATGTTTAGATTAGAAAACCATTTTTAATTAAGAAGTTAATTCTCTTCCTTACCATGAAAGCAGCTGGTTTCTTTGAGCAGCTCTCTCAGACTTACAATGGAGCTACTCAGTCCCCCCTCCTCAGCCAATTGCACTTCTGTTCTCAACTAGGTTTTGGGGCCAAGAAGCCCAAAGACTCAAATTTACACTCTGGATTTAATAAATAACTATTTGACAGAGGGCTTAAATTGCTCAACTTCCTAAAAAGATTCCAGCTGCTATGCCAAGCCCAGCAGCCTGAAACCCAAGATGATGTAATGAGATGGCAAGAGCTCTTCTCCCCAGGAATACATCTCCCTGTATTCCATAATACAGGATATATCCACAGTAATAAATACCATAATATATGCAGTAAAGAAGAGATTTTAACTTCTGAACTCTGGTATTTGGGCTAAGCACATCAACAGCAATTTTGGGTTTTTGAAAAGATTATTACATAGAAGGTTTGAAACCAAAGAGGAGAACCAGCTCCCCAGTGACCCCTTGCACGCCCACTCCTGCACAGTTTCAGGAAGGCTTGGATTAAGGTTTCAACTGGAGGAGTTGAGCTGCCCTTAGCTAAGCTGGTGAGAGCAAGCACAGCAGACAGAGAAGCCAAGAGAAATAATTTTAAATCCCAGTTGTGATTTTACTGCTCTCAGGGAGGAGGTGAGACACATCCATACCTCTTTATCACTGTAGGAGATATTCCGGATCTCGTTCCATGGGAAGGAGATTTTAGGGGTCAACCTGTTGTCTGGGTCATAAATGTGAAGACCCAAGGCATCAACTCCAAGGAGCAGCTCTGTACCCTTTTTATTCTGCAGGAGGAAAGGAAAGAGCAGAAATCACTGGGAGGGTCAGACATGAGCCACTGTTCCCTCCCCAGCCAGCCCTGAGCAGTGACCCAGCACTGGGTACCAGGAGCTGCTGCCTCCCCTCAGCACAGGTGATGTCCCCAAATGCCACCTCCCAGCTCTCCTGGCTCTCTAGGACATGCTGATTACCCTGGCAGGAAAACAGGACCCCCAACCCACCCAACTCACCCTGATGGCAAAGTAGTTCACACCATACATCTCCAGGTCCTGGGCTATCTTCAGATACTCCATTTCAGCTTCATCTCTGTCAGGCAGAACAGCGTTTGGGAGGATCAGAGAGGGACATGGCTGCTCGTGCTGATCCTAAGCACTCACCAGGCTTTAAAGCTTGGACTGTCTCTATCACACAGGTCAATCCTGTCTTTGCTGGCAGGATCAATAAAGTCCAAGAGCAAATCCCACTCTGCACTTGCCAGCATCTAAAGTGGCTGCTGAGATGCAGCACTTCAGGCCTGCCTTTGTTCACCTCCCAATCCCTTCAGCACAAGTAGGAAATCCCTGGCTGGGATGCCACTGTTTCAGATCCATGGCTTTAGGTTTATCTCCCAAAAGGAGCATTCTGCCACCTGAGGCAGCCATATAGTTTGAATCCCTATTTCTTCTCCCAGATCCCTGATGCAGGTGACACCTTACTTTGCATCACTCCTAAATTCTCTTGAGGGCCCTGACAGTGACCAGGGAACAGCAGGGCACAAGCAGAGCCATCAACAAAAGCTCTGAGCTCTTCCTGAAGCTGCTGCAGAGATGTACTGGGATTAAGCAGCTGGCAGAGCTCATCCAGTGCCTGCCCAAGCTCCCCAAAGCCTGGTGACTCTCAGGGGAGGGGACTGGCCCTGACCCAGCCCGGCAGCCCAGGCTCACCTCGCTCTGCCCCGGTGCTCTGCATACCAGGCTGTTATCCTTTCCTCCCACATCTCTGGAGTCATCTGGTACAGGTTTATTACCTGGGATAGGTGGGAGACAGACACACCAGGTCACAGTGCTGCTCCTGCCTCAGCAAGAGAGCCAAAGGCACCAAGACAGGTCCCAGCAGCATGTCCAACCTCAGGACAGCTTGGGCACCGACTCCCCGGCTCTGCTGAGCTCCTTACCCGCTTGGGAAGCAACTCCTCCTGTGCCAGGAAGCCTCTCTTGTGGACATTGGGATCGTAGTCACCGTACTGGGGAGAAGCACAGACACAGTGCCCACCCCCATTAACAACAAGAGTAAGTCAAACCCTTCACCCCCTCACACCCAGCCCTGAGAGACAGCAAGCATGGCCTGCTCACCCTTCACCTCACGAGCACAGAGCCTGCTGCCCTCTAAGGTGAATAAGCTGGGTTTCTTTGTCATTTCAGTGCTAACAGAAACAAAGAGCTTCCTTCTACTCGTGCAGCAGAGCCGGGAGCAGAACAAAACTTCCCACTATCACAGAATCATTAAGGCTAGAAAACGTCTCCAAGATCAAGTCCAGTCTGTGACTGAACACCCCAAAGGTCCCGAAGAGCCACATCTACTCCGTTTCTGAACACTTCCAGGGATGGTGACTCCACCACTTCCCACAACTTCAGTCGATGATCATCACCAGCTGATGTCCTCCATCAGTCCAGCTGGACTACATGATGGTTGTCTAGTCTATTGTCATTATCATGCCCTAATTAACATTTCCCCCAATGTAGGGCAAGACTTTATAGCTGAGAAGTCCTTGCGGTTCCCCAGACAGTGGAATAAGGGAATAAGACATGGAGAAAGACTTGTCCCCAAAAACTGATGGATAGCAGTGATCCAGGTTAGGCAGATGGCAGCTCCTCTGCTGCTGCTCATCACCCTAAAGAATAAATATCAAAAAAAATGAGAGGAGTTTGACAGATTCATCTCAGGCAGGTGGTGGCTCTTCCGTCAGAGGGTCTGTTGCTCAACTGGGTCATGGAATCCAATTCAGATTTGTTAAGCGCATCCACTAATTACTGGTATTTGTTTAGATTTACATCTCTTTGAGCAGCATATAAAGTGACTGAGAAAGAAAACTGCTTATTAACAGATTGAAGAGCTGCGTGTCCCTGCGGTGCATGTGAAAATGAATTTACCTCCTGCACGGCCTCAGAGGGCAGGAAAACACTGGAAACAGCTCCTCCAACAACCCAGCAAGTTCAGGGGGAGAGGAACAAAGCATGTGAGGCACGTACACGGAGTGCTGTGACTTCCACTCACCTGGCAACCAGGACTTCTGCAGTGACAGAGGTGACAACTGCACGAGACACAGCGCTGTTTGCTCAAGCTACTCATTTTGCAGCCCTTCCCTCCCTGCTTTTCTGAGCAACCTTAGCTCAGGAAGTGCAAAATGGTGACAATTTTTAAACACAACAGGAACCTGGTGGTCAGGCAACAAGTCAGGAGGCTTTTCCCCTCAGCCTCCTTTTCTTTGTGCCAGGACTGTCACCCCGTGCACCAAAACCAGAGCTCAGCATCAAAAGTCTACACACATCCCACCTCTGCGCTTGGGAGACAACACGTGGGGATTAAAGACACAAATATTGATCTGCAGCCAATGCAGATGCAAAGGGAGCATGTACCAACAACCAACACTGACTCAGACTGCAATTAATAGAACAAAACCAGCCCGGACTTCATCCAAGAGCAGTGGCAATTCTTTGTCTTCCAAGGTCTTGGAGCTCCTCAGGATGCAGCACTTTGCAGGTACACAGCCCCTGAGCCCCCCTCAAAAGAAAGCAGCACCAAAAATGTGGCACTGGTGAAGGAAGCAACTCCAGTAACTTTGGACAGGCAGCAAGTAAATCATTTTTAGGTGATGAAAAGAATAGCAAATAGGATTAACATCATTGTTTTCTGTTGTCATCTTCTGTGGAGGTCTGAGACTAAGTATGGATTATGTGACTTTCCATGTGCTAAAAAATACTGTCATGTCCCAGAGGAATATTTGTACTGAGAGGGGAGTCTGGATGAGAACATTAATTATTCACAAGCCAAAAATCAACAAATGGCTTAAGTATTGCAGAATCTGTTGGCTCAAATGATTTTGCAAACATACTTTCTAAAGGCCTTTTCAATTAAATCATTACTTTCAAACTGTCATGGAATTTCAGCTCTTGTTAATTGAACTGTATGATTAATATTCATGATTGGACATGGAATTGCCTTTACCACATTCAAACGCCTGGCTTAGATTGTTGGATAAACACAGGCACACTCAGCTACAAATTAACACCAAGTATTGCTTCTTTGGGGGAAAAACAATAATAATTAAAGAGCTGTTTGCTGTGCTACAAGATCTGAAGTGCTGAGAGAGTTGCAGCACGGCAGCGACCTGCATTTAAGGGGCAAAAAATAGAAAAACCTCCTGGATGTTCCCATTTTTTTTTTCAGTTGATCCCACGTCTTTCCCAGCTATTTAAAACCTGAACCACCTCCAACCTCCAAAAGCCATGTGGGTGGTTTGAACAGGGCTGCAGGGGAAAGCACATAGTAATTCCCCAAATGAACACAACGAGAGAGAAATAAATAAGCTGTTATTTTTATGACCCCCCTGTTTCCTTTGCTGTCTCAGGTTGGTGTGCATGGACCAGCAGCACCTGGCTGTCAATAAGTGGCTGCTGGATGCACACACACTGCTGTGTCAGGCTATTATGCCCCTAATCATGCAAATCAGCACGTTATTAGTGAAATTACTGCACTCTCTGCCTGCTTTCTTGTCCAGGAAGGACATCATTATCCTATTTAACTGCAAGGAGATGGCCTGCAACATCTTTCTTTCTTTCTTCCCAGCTCCCTATTAAAGATGTGCTTTCAGCTTTTGCCTTTGCTGGGAGTGAAAGCAGAAGGGGAATCCCAGACTGGAGGGGCAGCAAGGAAAGAAATGTCTGAAGAAAAGCCCTTTAGTGAAGAGCAGAAAAGTCATCCCTGCTCCACCTTCTGATCTCAGCACTGCTCTGACTCCCTGTGACCTCCTCCCAACGCCCCAGGACATTCAAGGTGCCAAGGGGACAAAGGGGACAGCACAACCAACCTGCACCGAGTCACAGCCTGTTCCTGAGCACGTCAGCAGGAGCTGTCCCGGCCACGAGGTAACACAGCTCAATATTTACCCAACGTTTATTCATTTTGGCAGCCAGAAAAATCATTCCCTGTGTATCCTCAGCTCAGGTCAATGGAAAGAAAGCCAAGGAAGTGTTTACTCATGCACTCTAATAAGAGTGATGAATGTTTCACACAAACAGAAACATTTCTAAAAGCAACTTTTCTTTGCCCAGCTGATGAGTCTCTTGAACAAAACATGGTTTCATCAATACTCTGATTATGAGGAGATAACACCAATTTCTTGTAAATTCAAACACCATCAAAGAACATGGCACCCAGGGCTCTACTCAGAGTGTGGAGTGGAGGGTTATGAGGAAAATTACATGGCCACAGGGAAAAAACCAGCCTGGATCAGGCCTTCTCTTCTGGCAACAGGGCTAAACCCCCTCTCCTGCACTGCCAGTAAAGGTGGTCCCACAGAGCTGCTCCTCCCAAACCTCTCCACAGCCAAGCTCCTCAAGGACAGCTGGACTTGCCAGAGCCAGGGCACAGCCACCTTCCTGCAGTCCCAAAATCACACCCAGAATCAGAACCAAGAGGAGCTGCAGAGACAGCGTGGCTGGGCTGTGCTCAGACTGCAGTTGCTGCTCTCCCTCCCAAAGCAGGATCTTTGCACACACGAACTGGAGCTGAGCTCCAGGAGCTGGTAATTGAGCAGCAGCACATGTTGTGCATACACAGGGAGAAATTACATCCCTGACTGCAACAATGTTCCTGCCACTGAACCCTGGGCTGATCCTCCTTCCCAGGAGTCTCTGCCCTGGGCAAGCCATCCAAGGCTGCACACCCCAAACTAGAAAACAGTGTCCTCTGGAATAAATCCTCAGCAAAACACACCCACTCTGGGCCCAGAGCAGAATGCAGCAGAGGAACAAGGGGAGCTCAATGAACACTGACTTTTCCTCTGCCTGGTGAGGCCAAACACTCAAGATCAAACCCAAGATAAAGGGAAAAGCCAAAGAGCCCTTTCACCGTGCAATAAGATGGATGTGGCAGCTCTAACACTGGAAAGAAGTCATTATCAAGACAAGTATTCTGGAGGAGCAGTAGAGCTGGGAATCCCATGGCTGGCTTGCCTCTGGCAAAAGCAGGAAGGAGATCCAACAAATCTCAAGCTCAGGGAATTCACCTGCTCCAGCAGTAAGCTACACTCAAGCAGGCTCTGCAGCTCATGAGCTGAGTATTTGCTAAAGAGTCCTGGAAAGAGAAAGCAAAAACCCATCCAATGCCTGGAGGTGGCCAGGAACCAGCCATGTGGAGAAGGCAGTCCCCTCACTTGCCAAGCTTTCACAGCTTTCCCTTTCCCCAGGAAGTGTCTCCACCACAAAGCATCTGGATCAACACTACCCCAGCAGGCCCTTGGAGCATCCTTTGGTGCCTACCTTGGCTTGGACAGCGTAGGAGGCCAGCAGGACAGAGGCTTCAGGAGGACAGAAGATCTTCTCATCCAAAATCTGCTTCTTCACCTGCACACAGAGCAGCAAAGGACAGAAAACACACGTTTAGTGGAGCACAGCAGAGCATGACTGTCACAGCAGATGGCTGCAGTTTGTTTTAACTTGAGCTGTCAACCACACAGAGTTAACAATTTTCTTAACACTAATCACAGTCCAGGCCCAGGAAGTCTCAGGCTCAGGCTTTCACAGACCACCTTTCTCAGACAGGCTGGTGAGAAGAGCTAAATTTATATGTGGAAAATGACAGCACCTCTATCCTGTTGCTAAAGGCAAGGGAGGGGGAAAACCTTGCATGTAAACACAGCGATAAAACCTCTTAAGGCACGAGCTATGGATTGATAAGACATCCAGCCACGCTGCCAAATAAAAGAGCAGCTTGCAGCTGAGTCTCTGAGCACTGCCAGCTTTGCTCTGGGACATTCAGGCCTCATTGTGAGTCAGTGCTCACCTGTGCTGGAGGCCAATTCCTTGGATCCCAGCAGGGAGAGCTGTGGGTCACCTCTGGGGCAGAGCTTTTAGCAGCAGGCAGAGCCCCGTGTGCGCTCCCGGGAGAGCCAACGTGCAGCTCCCCGAAGGCACAGCTTCACCTCCTTGCTTTCTGTGCATTAAAAAATTAAACCTGTCATGTTCGATATTTTTTGGGTTGGCACACTTAATTTTCCTGATTAAAGATAGGGGGAAAAAAAAAATTAAAAGCCTACGATTTCCTGGGAGACTTAAATGGATTGTCAGAGATGCAGGAACATCAATTTGAATTTATAACATGCTTTGAGTCCTCAAAGTTGGGTACAACATAATCACAGCAGATATTCTGCTGCATCAAGATAAAAAACAGGAGAGTTTACAAGCTTGCTCCTGTTTCCCAAATGCATTCTGGAGCCCAGGCTCCTCTCAGCATAGAAATCCCAGCAGCAAAGTCATGGTCTGCATTTAGAAAATGCAGCTTGAATGGCTTTCCCTCTCTGATTTTTCCTTCTCAAAGATGCCAACAGCATTTTTCCTCACTGTGGATAAAGCTCCTGGCAAATGAGGCATTCACAAATAACCCTACAGAGACACCAGTGCACGAGACAGAGCTTGGAAATTAACAGGAATACTTTGCATTTAGAACATTTTGGCTCTGGAATACAAAGATTTGGAAGAGTGAGGAGCATCAAGAAGCTGGTGAGCTCACTGGGACAGGACAGGATACCCTGCAGGCTACAGAGGTATTCCCAAACCCAGGCTGTCCTGACTGTGGTGTAAGAAACATAAGAATGAGTGACTTTTTAAAATTTTTGTAATTTATCTTCAAATGAACATCCAGAGAGCAGCTGAAACATCCCAGTGAGTACTCAGGGGTCTGACTAGGAGGGCTCTATTCCCTGTAACCATGCTTGACACAACTCTTCCAAGGAAAAATATGTGAGAAAATGGATTTTGTGTCAGAAAATTGATCATGTCTCTGAAAGAGAGCTCCCGTGATAGCAGCTCCTTGTTACTAGCCATGCAGCATTGCCACATCATCAGCTGAACTGACTTCTCAGGACACAAAGTTTTGTAGAGTAATTTAAATTAGAAAACTCAACCAAAACGTGTTCACCACAGTTTCCAAATGCTTAACTGAAGGGCAGGAGTTCCTGGGGCAGGTGAGACTCTGAGGTTTCCCCTTCTCTTCTGTTCTTCCATCAGAGAGCTGAGCTGCTGGGATGTTCTTCTGCTCCAGTTACCTGAAGGCTGTTTAGTGAGGAGGGGAACTCTGCTGTACAGCCTGGGAACAGGCTGGCTGCTCTCTGCTCTCCAGGATGAAGCTCCCCTGCTCCACACGACGATGCCATCATGTCCCAAGGCAGCTGCCACCCCTCAGCACAGCTCATCCCATGCCCTGCAGAGGGACATGAGCCCTTGGCTGACAGATCCATGTCCCTGAGTCACCACCCATGGATTTTATAGATGACCTCATCATTCTTGACTGCCAATTCAGAGGTATGCCAGTCTGGGCAGACTGTTTCCTCCACAAAAACCATCCTTCACCTATTTGAGGAAGTTTTTGTTGCTGAAGACAAGTCCCTTTGGAGAGGTGTGAACATAAGGATGTGGAGCACACTCTGCTGACCAGCTCTCTGACCCTGGGACCTTCTGCTCATCCTGGCTCCCCCTCCCTCAGGTTGGACAGCAATGTATTGACTCCTACCTGCAGGAAGAACAAGTGCTGGGTGATTTCCTGGACTAATTCCTCCTCTGCATTCTCAGGATAAAATTTGGCCAGGAAGTGAAACGTTTTGGGCTCCTCTGTGGGGACATCATGATCCAGGACCTGTGGGATACAAAAGCCATTTGGTTTCTTCAAGACAAGACCCAGCTCCCTTCTGTTCAGATCAGCACATCTTCTGTCAGACACTTTTAGACATCTAGAACAGACCTAAATAGTTCAGACACTATAGTTAAAAAAAGAAAACAAACATTTCTGACACTCTTAATGATGCAAGGGAACAAAAAAAAGGCAGAAACAAACAGCATGAGAAATGAGACAGTGAAGGTTGATCCTGATCTGCCACATGCTCGTTGCCTCTCCTGATACTCGAGGAGTGATGCTGGATCCTGCTGCGCCACCACCCGACTTTCTCCTTCTTTCCCTGCACTGAATTTATTTCAGTGGTGTTTCTTACCACCTTGTTCTGGTACTGCCCAGTTAAATGTTGGTTTAGAACCTCAGCCTGAGAGGTGAGACACCCAGACCTCCCTCAGTATCCATGACCATCTGGCTGTAGTATCACATCTTTTAGATGTGAACAGAGTCACATCAGACACCTCCAAAACCCACCCCTCAGAGATCTGGGAAGCATTTCCTCCCTTAGCCCCATCTTCTTTTCACTCTGGCTTTCCTCCTCTCAAGCTCTTTGTATTTCTCAACAAAACAAGAGGCAACTCCACTTTTCTGCTGATGGTTTTGTGTCCAGGGGCACAAAAGAGAGAGTTTTAGGTTTAATTTGCTTTGCAGTCACCCCAAAGTGCAGCACCCCAGCATGGCTGTGTCCCAAAATGTCTCCAGGGGATTCAGAGTGCACAGATGCTGGAATGGGGCATCTCTGCCAGCTTTTACCAGTCTGACACCCCCAGATGCCTCAGAGATGGGATTTAAGTTCATCCATCCCAGTTCACCCATCACACAACATCAGGCATTCAAAGAAAGAAGAAAGGACATTCTCCTTTGTCATCCCACACAACCTCTCAAGGGAAATATCCCTGTTCATGGCAGGGGCTTGGAACAACGTGAGCTTCAGGGTCCTTTCCAACCCAAACCATTCTGGGATTTTTTGAACTTTGGTTCCAACCTTCTTGTCCATTTTGAGCCAAGCCACCGTGTCCTTGATGGTGTACTGCAGCCCAAAGAACCAGGTTTCCCGCAGTCCCAGTGTCCTGCACACCAGATCAAACAGGTCCTTCCCTTTCCACTTCACCTGCCAGAGAGAGCAAACAGGAAGCACAGTTATAAAGATGGATTTCAGAACTTCTCTCTGTTCAACCAAATGCACTGTTTTCACCTCACAAGGTCAACCAGATGAGAATGCATGTGGTACAGACATGAAAACACCCTAACGAGGCACACGTTCTCTGCTTCCATCTGATCTCATCTGCAGATCACCAGCTCCTCCCTCAGTAGGAAACTGAGATGTGATTTCCCCCTTTTCTAAAAAATGACACTGTAAAGCCCCTGTTTCTTGCCCTGGGAAATTAAGGGTTCGTTTAGGCTCTTGTTGAGCTCAAATTTAGGCTCCCGATGTGTTTAGGTTCCTGCCTATTGCCAGTAGGGAATAAAAATCCCTTTGAATTGCCCCTTGGTGGCTTTAATGTGTCTCCCTACAGGCCCAGGAAGCCCTGCACAAGCACAACCATCAGCAGCACGGCTCAGAGAGAGGAGCCACAGAATCAGCAGTGACACCAGCCCTGCATGGAGTGCGTGCATGCAGAGCCACCGACCCTGCACGGAGAGAAGGCAAAAAGAGCTCCAAATTCCCCATCATTACCACTGAAGTCAGCGGTTCTCTGGGAGCACATTTTGATAGAGTCAAACTGCATTTTCTGCTGAAAATGTTGGTGACAAAAGCAGCCAAGGAGCAGAGAAAATTGGTTGCTCAAGGACTGTGTCCTTCGAGCAATCCTGCAGCTGCATCCATGATGCTACTGAAGTTTGCTCATAAAACCAGGAGGTGTTGGGAGGCAGAGAGGTGAAGAGGGACATAAACCACATGAATCTAATATGCCAAAGCCACTTTGGTCTTCCATCTGCACGCTGAAAACAATTGCTGGACCGAGACATATGGCCATTACTCCAAAGCCCTTGCGCAAACAGATCCCGCTCGCTCTCTTGTCACTACAACTCAATCCCGGTGCCACCTGGACACATCAACGCCGGGGCCGCTCCGCTGTCCCCCACTGCCGCCTTGTGGGCACAGCCAGGCCCAGCTCAGCCAAGCTCTGCTTTTCACTGATGGCTCCGTCACTGCTCTCCCCCCTTCCCAGAGAGCACAGACACACCCGCTCACAGTCCCGGAATAGGACAAAGCCGACAGCACCCTCCCCAAAAACACCACCCCCGGAGCTTCGCATCGGGCGCTGTCAACACCTCGGGGTCAAAACGCCAGGAGCAGCAAGTTTGGCAGTGCTGTAATTATAACCCCCCTAATTTCACACATTTCACTATCCTCCAGCCCCCGGGATGGGCTCCAGCTCGGCACAGGATGGCTCAGACTGCAGAAGATCTTTTCCCGACTATGATTTTAAGTGGGAGGTTAATTCAAGGGCTCAGACAAAACAGAGTGAGGCCCATTAAAAGAGCTATTTGGTACCGTTTTTGCAGGCACATAAAAGCAGGCTGCCAGCAAAAGGCTATTTCTTCACTAAACTGCTTTGTATAAAGCATTATGGGCTGTTTTTCCTTCCCTAGGACCATAGAGAAGGTTTTGTGGTTCAGTCTCGGCACAGAAGTGCCTGCACCAAACCCTTCCCAGGACAGGCTCCGGCTCCCAGGAGCTCTGGACATCGCTCCACATCCCATGGGATCAGTGTGTTAAACCTGGAATTTCCACCGGCTGTCACTCCTCACCGAACCACCTCAGGTACCCAAACCGTGCTCAAGAACTGACAGGACCCAAAGGTCTCCTCTCAAAACACAAACAATCAGATTGTTTTGAAAAGCTGCACTGAAGATTAAAGCAGGAGCTTTGTGCAGTTTTCACTCCTGCATTTTTAACTTGGTGATGGGAATTTGGAACTTGGTGGGAAGATCATACAGTTCCACCCCCTGGCATGGGCAGGGACACCTTCCACTGTCCCAGGCTGCTCCAAGCCCTGTCCAGCCTGGCCTTGGACACTTCCAGGGACCCAGGGGCAGCCACAGCTGCTCTGGGCACCCTGTGCCAGGGCCCCACAGCTGGGTTTCTTCCTGACACCTAACCTAAATCTCTCCCCTCTTAGTTAAAAACCATTTCCCCTTCCCCTATCATTATCTGCCTACATTAAAAACTCTCATTTTTTTACAAGCCCCCCTTTAAGGGACTGTATTTTAAGTGAGGCTTCTGCTGTTGCGTTTTACACCAGCGCTTTGTCACCATGCGTTTCTGTGGTGGCAGGAATAGACATTTAACATTCCTGCACAATGCTCAAGACTCCAGCCATAACAGATCATACATCCTCCCCAACTGCGCTGAATTACCTTCATTAAATATATCAGTGATCAGCAGCCACCTTTATTCCAACAGACATGATTTCCCTCCACACCTCGGTACTTAAAATAACGATCTGCATTCAAGTGGCATCTTTTGACAGCTGAACTCCAGCCACTTTACAGACATCCAGGACCTCAGCCCTCCTCACCCATACTTTACACTTCACTTGTATCATTAACTGCCACATTCTGTGGTTGTAAACCACTAAAATAAAAAGCCCTTCCAGGGTCTGAGGGGATGGACAGAGCTGCTGTCCAGAGAGCCTGGAGGACAGCCAGGACAGGCTGGCCATTCCCATCCACCCTGTGTCCGTCACGCCATTCCTTACACGGCACTCAAGTGACACCTGAAGCACAAAGATGATTTTACAAGCCATTCTGAGCTCCTGAAAACAAAACTAAGAAGCTCAGAGCAGAAAAATACCTTCTCAGCCATATGCTGGGGTGGCTGGTATGATGCTGTAACAAAGCTCCATCTCCCAGCAAAAAGCTACATCATGATAACCTCAATGTGACCGTCAGGACGGAGCGGGATGCGTCACTCCAGCACCCTCCCTGTGCTGCAGGCATCACCTCTGACATTTGCAGCTCCTTTCCCATTAGCAGGAGCACAGCACGGGTGGCTGCAGGAATTCAGGAGTCTGGAAGGGACATGGGAATGAGGTGCTTTATAAACAGGCTGTTACTCCACCGAGCTGTTTGTTGTTCTTTACTAAGTACAGAGCAGTTACAATCTATCAGCAAAGCATTTTAAATTAACAGCACTAAACACTTAAAACTCTGCAGCCAGTGGCTAGAACAGAGTATTTCCAGTCCAGATTATTGGCATCATCTTTTTCTCTGGCTGAGACGGCACATTTGGCATCTATTAACAGGGTTTGCATTATTTATTAACCTGCACCGGGAGTCATTTCCAACTCGCAGTCAACTGCACGATTTATTTCGGAGCATAACCTCTCTGTCAGGTTTCACAACTGCTCCTCAGCTCCCGACTCGATAAAGCAGCTCCAAAAATGAGCAGAAGGCTGTCTGGTCCCCTCATCAGGGGATGACAAGGAGGGAGGGCGAGCCAGGGAATGGAGCTGTCAGGGAGGTTTAGGAGTAGTTCAGGGCAAGGTTCTTCCCCCAGAGGGTGCTGGGCACTGCCCAGGCTCCCCAGGGAATGGGCACAGCCCCGAGGCTGCCAGAGCTCCAGGAGCGTTTGGACAGCGCTGCCAGGGATGGACAGGCTGGGATTGTTGGGGGGTCTGGGCAGGGACAGGACTGGGACTCAATGATCCAACCCAGGATATTCCACAATTCTAAAAAAATGGACAGCAAAGGACAAGGGGGTGCAACCATTCTGCAGAGAGGGTTGAGCGAGGGGTCTACACAGAACAGAGATTCCCAAAACATTGTCAGGCTGATGCTTCTCTTCCAACAATGTCAAATGTGGTAAAGGGGAGGCAAGAGGGATGAGTTTAATTTAATATTCCGGTTCCTCACACCAGAGGCTCTCCTGGGAGGTGCCCAAACTCCAGGAGACAGAACCTGGCTCTGCTCAGGGGTTACAGATTAAGATCTCACCTTCTCCTCATCACAAACACAAACCCCTGGAGCTCCAGCTCTTCCTGGGATCAGGGTGGGTAATAAGGACACCAAGGCTCAGCTGCTTCCCAGGGAAACCCAGGGCAGTGGTCCTTGCACACCCCACCCATGGCGCGAGGTTAATGCACGACCTTGCAGAAATGACTCACATTTACAGAGTATTTTACTGCACCAATTTACCCGTAAATAACACAGAAAATGGCTTCTTGCTTTGCAGGTAATTTTATTAGGTGTCAGATCTGTGCTAGGGATGCAAAGGGAGGCAAGAGCCCTTGCTGTGACACCACAGCCAAAGGACTGCTGGGAAAAAGGGACCAAGCACCAGGAAGAAGTGCTCTGAGTGAAGTTATTCCTGTTTAGAATCAAATTTTAACAAGAGAACACGACACCACTGAAACAGGGATGAGGATGGAGAGAGCTGGGCCTGAACAGAGCATCCTTCCACCTGGGAATGAGAAACTGGATGTAGCCTGTAGCTATTCCAAACCCCCATCCCACAGGAGATGCCCAAATCACCCAGCTGCAACAGTTTACAACTGAAATAGAGGTGATTTTGAGACTGCAGACCACACTTATTTCTCCTTCTGGACTTGAATGATAACCACAGTGCCACAGACAACCATTTATTCAGATTTAAAGCCCATTTGGAGCAAATAGGGAATCAAAAACGTAATATTTGTCAATTTTGTTTTAAATAACGGGATGTCAAATATTTTCAATTGCCACTTACTGAGTCACAAGACAGGGCTGTAAAAGTTATTTTTATTTACTAATGCTACATGACAACTCGATAATGAGCTTTTAATTAAAACCTATTTCTGTTAACCACCGAGGAGGCCAAGAAGGCGCCCAGGCGTGAGGATGCAGATGGTGCAGCCAAGCACGTTCCGTGGTGTCTGCCCGAGCCACAGACGGAGCAGGAACTGAGAACAGGCGCCTGTGACCAGACAGAGCTCGGGGAGAGGCAGGGGACAACAACAGGTGACAATGTGTCCTCTGCCCTGCTCAGGTGAGACCCCTGCAGAGCTGCAGGAAGGACCTGGAGCTGCTGGAGAGAGTCCAGAGGAGGCCACAGAGATGCTCCAAGGGCTGGAGCCAGGCTGGGAGAGCTGGGGGTGCTCACCTGGAGAAGAGAAGGATCCAGGG